AGCACTCTGGACATTCCACCAATTTTTTTACAGAATCTTCAACCAAGGATGTAAAGCCGAGTTATATGTCAGCATAAACAGAGCGAAGCGCCAACTGGTCGTTCTGAAACACAAGGAAAACCATAACCACCGAAGGGACACTTTTTCTTCAGACAATATCCAGAACAACGAAAGCTGCCATCGGAAGCTTTGGAAACAACAGAAACCATGCTGCAACTTGGTTTTAAAGTGAAATTTCTGCAAAAGTACTTACTGGAAACACAAGCATCATTCATTTCTATTAAAGACTTACATAATGTACGGCAGAAAATGAAAGAAAAGGGGACAGGGGGCAACACCGATGAGGAGATGTTGATATCCGAAATAGAAAAGCTCATGGAGGAAGATCCAGGCTTGAACATAGTTGTGGAGAGTGATGGCACTGGCACACTCGAGTTTCTATTTCTTGCTACCACTGATATGCAACGAGCATTCCAACTTTTTCCGGAAGTTTTAATGGTTGATGGGACATATTCCATTAACAAACTACGGATGCCACTCTACACCTTTGTGATAGAAGATGGAAATGGAAAGAGCCAGAGGGCTGCCTACTGCTTTGTAGTGAATGAAAAAAGAGACACACTACAAAGGATGATGAGCCGGTTTGCAGACGTGCATGACGTAACCAGGATCAAGGTTGTTATTGTAGACAAAGACCTGAAAGAAATTGATGCTATCAAGTCCGTGATTCCTAACGCCTCAGTGCAATTGTGCAAGTTCCATGTTCTACAGATTTTTACAAGAGAGATCAGGAAACTTGTTGTAACAGAAGAACTTCATTCCCGACTTACCTTAGCCATGAAGCAACTTGTGTATGCCCCATCGTTGGAAAAGTTTTTAAAGAGAATGATTGCAGTTGCATCAATTGCGCCCCTTGAATTTATGGCCTACTACAGAAAAAATTGGGACCAATCAAGAGAGTCGTGGGCTGCATATCTGACAAATTCCATAACCAATCTGGGTAATACAACTAACAACAGAATTGAATCGCACAACCACAAAATTAAACAACTGCTCAACCGTGATATGACGCTGTCTTCCGCAGTAAGCAACATAATGACCCTACACAGAGCAGGCGTAATGACCACACAGCACGAGGTCTTCAACCAGCAGATGAAGGTTGCCTATCGACTTGGAGATGACGACCAAACCACAGCCAAAATCACTGACTACTTGATACCTTATGCTGCAAGTCTAGTTATAGGTGAGTTGAAGCATGCAAGAACAAGACTGCAAAATATAATTACTGAAGAATGCCAGTGCACCTTAAGAGCAACCATGCAACTCCCTTGCTGCCACACTTTTGCTCGGAGAATAACAAACTGTGATACACTCTTTCGGGAGACAGACTGCGCACAACGTTGGAACAAAGAATATTATGCAAGGTGTAGTACAGTAATTATGAAAAGATTAAAGCAAAACAAGGAAGTGAGTGAAACCAAGAAGCAGAGGAAGAATGTAAAGTCTTCAATGCCACTAGACAAGACCGAAAAATACAAGAGGGCTATGTTGACTTTTAAGCCAATGGCAGACTACTTGTCTACACTTGGAACAAATGAGTTCCAGGAGAAATTAGGTGCAGTTCAAGAGGTGAACACATTATGGATGAGTGGAAGCAATGCAGTTATTTCTTCGCAAGAACACCGCCATCCCGAAAAGGAAGCAACAGCAGAAAACACTCATAATTGCAGTCCTACATCCGATGAATCTGACACAGATGATGCCTACCTTAATGACAACCCATATCCATATGTTTCCTCAGATGAGGAGGAGGGGGAGGAGTGTTCATCGGAGGAACCAAAAAATACAGATCAAAAGTACTCTAACTCCACAACATTAGTCCTTGAAGAGTGCTTTCAAGATGAAGAAAATTCCACACACCAATGTCATGTTCCAGAGCCAACTGATACTACGGCAGATAATGTACATGATGACCTCACATCAAATTTGGCCCAATCCGCATCTGAATGTGGGACACATAACACAAATGTCTATAGCAGCCAGTCTGCCTCTTGGGCGGGCATGCAGAACATCAGGTTACCAAAGACGCCACCGGCTCGGGGAAGGTCATGCTCGAAAAAGCCTAAAATACACAAAGCCAAAAAGGAAAATGTCTTCCAGTCACGACAAAGATTCATAGAAAGAAAAAAGAAGGTGATGAAAAAGAACACAACAACTAATACCGTATCAGCTTTAGCAGACCTAAAAAACCCAAGTGTCATGCTGGACGACAAGCATATCAATATCGCAAACACAATACTGCTTGCAAACTTTCCAGATATGAACGGCCTACAGGATCCTGTCCTTGGAAGCAAATTGCATTTTAATGTTTTGAGGGGGAAGTTCATTCAAATCCTACACGACGGTAATCTCCACTGTAGATGTCTATGATTCTGTCTCAACCGCACTGAGTGACTCAACAAAGATGCAGATAGCTTCAATAGTTTACACAAAGGAGGACAATGTGAAATGTAATCTACAACCATTTCAAAGGCAACAAGGAGGAGTAGACTGTGGATTATTTGCCATTGCAGCGGCAACTGCTTTATGTCACGGTGTGAACCCGACAAGTGTGGTGTTTAAGCAGAGAAGAATGAGAGATCATCTTGTGGACGCAATAAACAACAACAAAATGACCTTGTTCCCAACTCTACAAAGCGGTACAACTCAACGAACCCACAAAAAACCAAAAAGTGTGAAAATTGCTGTGTACTGCAAATGCCGTCTTCCAGATAACAGAGAAGAAAGAATGATCGAATGTTCAGCATGTAGACAGTGGTACCATCAGACATGCATGCAGGTGCCAAAAGAAGTTTTTAAGGATCAAAAATTAAGCAGGGAATGGTTGTGTAATTGCAGAAGTAATTAATTCAACTGGATAGGACGAAATCATTTGCAAACAGGAGGTCAGTATATTTATCCTATTTCTTTGTTCTACCATCTTAATATAGGTATTTGTTAATGATTACCTGTTTATATCAACCTTTTTTCACTTTTGCATTTTAATGTTGAATATTGAGTTATTTATTTATTTTTATTTATTTTTTTTTGTTTTTTTTTGGGGGGGGGGGTCATGATGAGACAAGTTTTTTACTTCTAGTAATGATCTCAATGATGGTGGTTTATCATTGGTATTGTACTGTATACTATTATTATTTCCATCATTGAATAAATGTCATTTTGAATTGAGTACTCCCACTTTCTTATTTCAAATGATTTATCTGATGTATTTAAAGAAATTTAAATATTATTACCATAATTTATTTTTGTATCTTCTAAAGAACAGCCGGTAAGAACGTGATAAGGAAAAGTGATGCAGAAAGAAGATGAATACCACCTCACACCAACCAAAAAATACAGTAATAACAATAATATTATTATAATACTGAGATGAAATATTTGAATATTTTCATCTGTAGTGTGGAACTGTTTTGATCGTTAATAAACCAAACACAATGGAAGTCATGTTGATAACATCGACAAAAGCTTGCATTAACTTAAAATCCATTGTGTTTTTGGTTTATTAACGATTAAAACTGTTTACTACAATAATACTGAGATTATTATTAACAGTGCTTGAAGACCAAAAAGCTGCCTCAACCGGGATTCGAACCCGGGACCTTCTGCTGTCTAAGCAGATGTCATAACCAACTGGACCATTGAGGCGTCATTGGCAATTCAAATCAGATTCACTCATTTGTGCATGTGTAGTTGGCCAA